GTAATTCTAATCAAATCCACTGTTATTGGGACATGGATTGTAACAATTTTACTCACTAAACAAATCTTTTACAATCTTAACCAAATACATGAGATTCTTAAAATCCTTAAAATACAACTCTTTGATAGATTTATTAAATACACAAAACTCTCTACAAATTTAACAAATCTATCTACAAATTTCACAAATATCCAAACTTTTAAAATCATCCAACTCTATCTAAATCCTAGTGCCAATAACCCCCCTAGTCTAGTTAAAAATGTACGTATTATTACTTTAATAAAACAAATGGAAGAACTTTAAAATACCATTTTTAGAAATTTTAAGCAATACCACTTTTTTAATAAAAAAAAATTGTTTTGGTCAAATGAGCGTATATAGCCGAAAAGCATAACGGAATAGAAAATTACAAGACTCACGATCTACCTCACCGGAATATGAATTGCATCAAGGCTAAAGCCAAAACAAGCAAGTTTAAAATCAACACAACCAAACAAATGACCTTCTATTGCGAATCAAATGTACCTCGCTAAACTAAATGGAAGACTTCTCACCTCGGTAATTATACCTAAGAGAGGGGGTGACGAAAATACCAAGAATCACACCACTAAAGAAACCATAGAAAAGGCAAACCCCGAGACTTAGCTTTACCAAAAGTAGAAACAAGGAGCATAACCTAGCTTTACCGAATGAATCGCAATCCAGAGGAATGCAGAACATAGATGGATTCGAAAAGCAAACAGTGGCACAACGAAAAAAAGGCGAAGACACCAAGAGACATAGGAAACTAAAGTCGCATTCCCACACAACAACAAACCAGAGGAAGAAAGACTGAGAGGCGATAGATAGCTTCATCTACACCATGACCGTCGACCACATGAACCCAAACGAGTAACCAACCAGAAAACCATACATGAAAAAGAAAAAAACCCGAGACACAACCCGAAAGATTAGAAGCCAAAGCAAACCCAAACTTCCCAACCAAGACTCGAGCAACATATAAACTTTCTCCCATGATTTTACGAGAAGTTCAATGGTCAACATTAAAGTTTATTGGGAAATATCGTTAAAGAATTATAAAATAACTTTCTTCAAGATAAAAGATCGGCACATGGTCACCGTTGTCGTTTCCTCTTCGTTGTGAAGTTCATAATTTACATCGGTTACCATGTCATTGTTTTTTAAATTAAAAAGTAAATATCCACGGTAATACTTATATTAGATATCTTCTTGGTAAAATCTATGTATAAATGTTTATATAAATTTATCTTTTCAAACAAAATATATTCAATGATTCGTATATTTAACGGTTTAAAACTAAAATATCGCGCAATGTTTGAGGTATAAATCTAATACTCTTAATGAGAAAGACTACAGGGTTGACTGGTTTAAAAGCAGCATGTGCGGCTGTGAGAATTTGCGAAAACGAGCGTTAAACATTACCGAGCGGTTTATATAACTGGTATAG